CGCCTCACAGTTCTATTGGCATATCATTCACATATCATGCAATTCAATAGTTGAGAATGTAACTCTTTATGGGAATAGAAAGCTTCATCTTTCTCCCGAAATAAGAGTAATAGTGGCTACCCTTTACTGACTATTTACTAAATGTCAGGCACAGTACTAAGCACTCTACATATCTTATTGGCTTTAATCCTTACCATGGTTCTAGGCAGTAGGTGCTATGATTACCCATATTTTACAACTATAAAACCTGAGGTATGAGAGGTTCACGGCAGTCGCCTACAGAGTGAAACCTGGAGTAACGACTTCATCTGAAGGGCCAGACCTCTCCACACCATCCCTCACATCTAACAAGTCTTGCCTAGGGAGAGGAAGGAGTCTCTGGAGAGTGCAAATGATTTATGTGTTCAGTTCCTAAACGAACGTTTGGAGGGTGAAGTCTACCCAGAAGCCACTAAGGAGAAAGGCGTAGCAATCCACTTCTGAAAAAGCAGCCACTGAAAACCGATGGAGCAGGGTTCCACGCTAACACACACAAGTCACCAGCAGTCAGAACTGACTCAGGACAACTGGTGGTAAAAGGATCTGGCTTAAGGAGAGAGAAGTATTGAAGGCTGGGCTGGGCTGGGCTGGGCGAGACAGCCTCAGCTCATCACATATCCGTCTGTCAGAGAGAAATTAGCACCTTCTTGACATTCCTAGAGTTTGAGGTGGAGGTACAGACCCAGCCTAGCAAAACCCCTGGTCGTGGGCCCCTGCCACCATGGTGCCTCAGGTAGTCTATTTTGCTCTGCTCCCTGGAAGCCAAGAATTCCCTTTATGAAAAGGGAATTTAAAAATCCTTGCCCACAGAAACCTGAACATTAGTCCCCCCACCAGACATGAGCATGCGTCCCTGCCCATCCTTCACCCCTCCTCCTTTCTTCACAGCTTCCCAGAGCCTCCCCACAGGCCACCACAGACCTCTTCCCGGGTTTTTAGGTTCCCCTTGCCCTGAAGCCTCATTTCAGGGGCTCTCCCTTACCTTGGACACCTGTAAAGGTTTCCTCTGCTCGGCCCCCCCATGAAGTCGGAAGCCCCAGGGGGCTCCCCCCAACAGTGTGACCAGCACCTCCTCCTCAGTACCCATCGCTCAGCTTGGCTTATGGCCCCTGGGATACGGACAGATTCCTAGGAAGAGAAGTTGAGGTGCTAGTCCCCCGTACGGCCTGCCTGTCTGGCTGTCCTGTTCTTGCTGTCCCAGGTCTCCCCCCCACACACCACAGGCAGGCAATTTGGCCCTGAGATCAGTACAGTCCAGCACATTTGTCCTGTCAATCTGAACTGTGCTTAAAATAGTTGCCGGCTGTACACCCATTCCTCCCCCACCTGTGTTACTCCCGAAGCTAATTATAGTAAAAATTTCTGTCCTCTCATGTCCCCCACTCTACTGCCTGGGCTTTTGACTCAGGACTCCTCATAGTAGCAATTTGAGCTCTAACTAATAGACAGCCTTTCGAGAACTTCACCTTCTCCTTGATGGGATCCCAGATTGCAAGTGACAGCTTTCCAAAGCCCATTGCACAGTGGCAGCATTGGGAGCTTTGATTTCAGAGCCAGCAAGGAATGGCCCCACAAGTTGCTGGGCTTCTCAGGAAAGAGTGTCCCCTCGTGCAGCACCAGCCTGGGAATTGGGATCTATCTTTCCTGGCAGTGCTGGGTGCTGGGGAAGAACTCTTCTGATCAACACTGCTCTGGCTGAACTGTTGTCTCTCCTGCAACGCCTTCCTTGGCCTTCTAGAATGTCCTTCTTTTCTCTGGGCAACGTGTAGTCTTCTTAATAGTTCTATTGTCCTATTTATCAGTGAATATGATATCTATTTACATGCCTCCCAGACAAGGAAAACACCGAAGGCCAGGAGTTGTGTGAAACAGCCCATCAAGAAGAGCCCGCAGAACAACGCCTCATGTCATGGGTGCTCAATACATGTTTGCGGAGTTAAATGAGCTCTTACAGTCCACAGGGGGTCACAGATAGGTGAATGCATTTAGATCCTACCAACTTAGGGTAAAATTTTCTCCTTGCTTTAATATTTCCATTAAATAAATGTGCCTTACATTTGGAGATATCCTTTCTAGCAAGATGGGGCTTTCTACTCCTATAAAGTCATACTCTTGGAAACTCACACAGGAAATACAAAAGCTTCTTTGAAAATGAAGAAGAAAAATAAAGATGTTTAACCATAGTCATAAAAAATACAAATTTAAAATAACATTTTTCACATTTCTATCAAAATGGAAAGATCCAAATGTTTGCTAACATTGTTAGCCCTAAGGGTATGGTGAAACAGGTACTCTTGTCCATTGTAGCAGAGAGACTTTATAACAGAATTTTAAAAACAATTTTATTAGTATATAATTCATATATCATTTAATTCAATAGTTCATTCACATCAAGAGTTGTATAATCATCACCACAATCAGTTTTAGAACATTTGCTTCATTCTTGTACTCATCTTTATTAGCTCCTCATTTCCCCCCAAACTTCCCTGCCATACCCCCAAGGAAGTATTAATCCAGTTCTGTCTCTATATACTTACCTACCCTGGATTTCATATACAGGAAAACATTAAAAAAGAAAGAAAAGATTAACAACAATAACAAAGTAAAACAGATTATTAACCTCTGTCAAAAAGAAAACAGAAAATATTAAAAACTAGAACCAATTTAAAATAGATCTTAAGAGAAATCAAATGATAAGGTGCTAAATTTTAACCTAACTGCACCTGCAATAATCCACTTTTCACTGCAGCCTGCATGATAGCAAGGCTATTTACACCTCTGGTCCATGATCAGAAGAGATTTACCAGAGACTTAATCCACATGTATTTCCCCGTCACTTTTTTTTTTTAAACCAAAACAACTTTAAAGTAGGTCAAAAGGAGATCAAATAATAAAATGTTACATTTAAACCTAACTGCATCTGCCATAATCAACTTTACAATGCTCTCTGTCTGATAGCAAGGGTATTCCCATTCCTCAAGTATAACCAGAGAAAATTCACCGGAGGCTTAATCCATGTGAGGATCCTCAAAATGGATTTGGGTCTTCCACTGTCATCCATAGCTTTCTGCAAACCAGGTGGTTCACAATTTAAGCTCTGATACCATTGCCTCCTTTGGATTCAGATATTAGATAATTCTTGGATAATAAAGGGTGGTGTGCTTCTTCCATGTGGACTTAATTGAATTGAGACTAGCCTTTGAGACTAGTTTGAAGATTAGCCTTTAAGACACCAGATGATATTCTTTCTGATAGCCAGGCACCATCTGGTTTCTTCACCACACTTTGCTATAGCACCCATAACTTCAGTTAGCTCTTCATGAAGGGGAGCATCATGCAGAGCCTTGTCTTAAGAACTAATTATTCTTAGATTGGGACTACAATTAAGTGCAAGCTCAAAATCATTCATATATCTATGGTTTATGTATGTCTCTGGTTCACCTTAGAGGGATCAGTCATTTCATGTTAGAGAATGTCATTAATCATCTCCCTGGGGCATCACTTCCACTGCCATGGAATCAAGGCTAACTCATAGAAACCCTATAGGACAGGTTAGAACTGCGCTGTGAATCTCTGAGACTACAAATCTTCACAAGAGTAGAAAGCTTCCTCCTTTCCCGCCAGACTTGGCTGGTGGTTTCAAGCTGCTGACCTTGTGGTTAGCAGCCAGTGCATAACCACTACTCATTGATAGTGTTATTAGTTTAACCAAAAGTATAGAATTTAAACACTGTTGAGAAAAAGAAATTATACAGTATAAGGCAGCTATGAACCTCGATAAAACTTCTGAGTAGACACTATTTAACAATGGGGGTTAGTGATAGGACAACACTTTCAATAATATGCATTCATAACAGCAGAGCCACGCCTAACATGTCACAGGAAGCAAAGAGGGCACGGAAATAATAAGCGTATGATTGTTCTGGACCACCATTCATTGGGCACCCTTAAGGCAAGAGATTCAACCCAAAGTCCAACATCCACCAGTTCTATGCCATTGGGCGCACAGTCACTTGCTTCTGACACTAGGGAGTTTCAGCCTAAAGTCCAAGGGCTACAGGTGAGTTTTAGGGAAAGCCCAGTTCACTTAGTGGGGTTTCCACATCGAGTCTTTTTGGTGTGGCCTATGAAGGATGTTCTGTGCCTCAAAATAGCAAAGTCTAAAGTTCTAGTAGTCTATAGCACACAGACTGGCTTGCAAAGGACTCTTAGAAACAAGGTCAAAATTATCCAATTAGGAAGTTAGTATCAGGCACATAATATAATTTTTTAACTGCGAATTTCAAACCATTTAAAACTATCATCTATTAAAAACTATATGGTGAACCAAAACTCCCCATCACAATGTTTCCGCACATGTTGAGCACCTACAAAAAAGTGAAAAACAATTACTTAATTTCCTTCTACGCACATAAAACCTCACTTGTTAGTATAATGACCAATTCATCCTAGTTGGCAAAGGGAATGTCTATTTTTTGACACCTAAAAATTGTACATCTCAGGAAATATCTTAGTCCCAGCAAATCAAGTCAGCCAGTCACCCTATGTACCAAGAAGAGAAAACATTAAAGCAAAGAGACAGGCACTAGTCCACCATCTAAACTGGAGTGTGTGTATATGTGCCCATTCAACATGCTTCACTGTGTAGCATCACAGAAGGGACACATGGCCAACACTTGTGAAAAAAGACAATGATAGTTACTAAAAGAGTCAGTCCTGACTCATGGTGACTCCACTTGATGCAGTGTCGATCTGTGCCCCAGGAGAGAACTGTGCTCCCTTGCCTAAAGATTTTTTTAAAATTACTGAGTCCTTAAAATGAAATACACTAAAAAATCACGTGGTAGAAGGTGATTATGCAACAAAAGGACCTATTAATGTGTGTATATATATAAGATTCCCTGACCCCAACTCTGGAGTTTTGATTTCATTGGCTTAGTACTGGTGTTGGCATTTTTGGAGCCCTCGTGGCCCAATGGCTATGTGTTGAGCTGCGCTCTGCAAGTGTATGAGTCCGGGTAGACTAGAGAAACAAATCCATAGAAACTCATATGTGAAAGTTTTATATAAAGGGTGATTGTACATTAAGAAAGCATCCCGACCCAGTTCAGTCCAAGCCCATAAGCCCTATATTAGCCCATATGTCTGATACCAATCTATAAAGTCCTCTTCAGACTCAAGAAACACATGCAATGACGCCTAATGCAGGACAATCACAAGCCAGTGGGTAGAAAGTCTTTGAACCAGTGGCGTTGTAAGCATCTCAGTGGCGTTGTAAACATCTCAGCACTGGCAGGGGTCTCTACGTGGCTTCTCCAGTTCCACGGTTCTGGCTACATCAGGGTTCATCCATGTGGCTTCTCCTCAGGTATGTCTCACAGGGAGTCAGTCTTGTATCTTGTCGGTAGAGCATCTCCGAGGGAGTGAGAAGAGAGAAGCCTCTTCTGCCTGAGGGAGGAAATGCAGGAGTTCCCAGAATCCTCAGGAGAAGGCCATGCCCACACAGAAGCCTCATTGGCTATGACCTGATTGACAGACTAGACTCCACCCCTTCACTCTTAATCCTCTCAAGTCCCAAATTGATACCAGATTATGTAACTACCACAGCAAGGTCACCATTTGAAACCACTAGGCACCCTGGGGGGAAATTTCTACTCCAGTCAAGAGTCACAGTGTCGGAAACCCACAGGAGCAGTTCTACCCTGTCCTAGAGTTGGCATCAACTCTATGACAGTGAGTGAGTGTTGATGTTCTTAAAGTACGATTAAAAAACCCACTGTCATTGAGTCAATTCTCACTCAGAGTGACTCAATGTAGCGTTTCTGAGGCTGTAATTCTTTGAGCAAAGAGCCTGATCCTTCAGTGGCTGGTGGGCTTACATAACTTTGTGGTTAGCAATCAAATGCTTCTCCAACGGTGCCACCAGTTGATTGTAATGTGCAGCAAAGGTTGAGAGCAACTGGGTGGAGGGCACAAAAACAAATAAAATGCAATCTATTAGCCCTATGAAGCTATGAATCTAGGCTCTCCCACTTATTAAGAATGCAGCCTTCGCGAGATAGAGGATTCCTCCTTTCCTATGCTGATATGAGCGTTAAATGGGACAAATTAGGTGAAAACACTTAGCGGAGGGCTCCATCTACCATTAGTTGAATTTGACAAATAGTAATCTCCACCAGTAGTTCTCATTTTTCAGCGTGCAGTGGACTCCCCCAGCCCAGGGGTTGGCAAACTTTTGAGACGGAAGAGCCGATCCTGTCCCTCACAATTTAAAAATTATTGAAGACCATAATATAATTTTTCAAATAAGAAAAAATTTACCGTAAGTAGTATTATAAGTTTAACTATGACAGCTTTATTTTCATTTTTAATTTTACTTCGGAGCCACATGTATGTACCAAAAGATCCGAATATAGCTCTGGAACAGCAGTTTGCCAACCTCTGACCTAGACCAAGTTAATTCCAATTCAGGGTGACCCTATAGCACACAGTAGAATTGTCCCATAGCATTTTTAATGCTGGCAACTTTATGGAAGCAAACTGATACATCTTTCTCCTGTAGAGTGGCTGGTAGGTTCAAACCACCAACCTTCTGGTTTGCAGTCAAGTGCTTTAACTGCTGAACCACCAGGGGCCTGGAATCACCTATAGGGCTGGTTAAGCCATAGGTTGCTGTGGTAATGTAAATGGTTGATGCAAGTGGGCAGTGTAGAAATTGGATACCCAAAATGGGGGGATAAAGGCATGAAGTGGTTGGTTTACCAATTTTCATAGGTAGGGGAATATAATCATAGGATTATAGGATTAAGGTGTAGGTGTTACTTAACATCAATTGTTAGGCACAGAATAGTCTTGCTTTGTTCACTTATAAAATTTTATATTTAAATTAGGGTGGCACATATTGAATTTTATGCATTTTAGTTTTATCCTGTTAGATACAGATATGATTTTATTGTTTGTTTGAAAATTATATATGGCTAAAGAGTTATGTGAAAGTGTCAAATTGACAAGGAGTGGTCTATGATAGTTACATAACCTGGTGTCAATTTGGGACTTGAGAGAATTAAGAGTGAAGGAGTGGAGGCTAGTCTGTCAATCTGCCATAGCCAATGACCGCCTCTGTGAGCATGACCTTCTCCTGAGAATTCTAGGAATGCCTGTATTTCCTTCTTGGAGGCACTCTCTCTGCTCACTCCCGGAGAGATGCTCTATTGACAAGACTTCCCACCCATTGGCCTGTGATCTTCCTGCATTTGGCATTATTGCATGTTTTGTGAGTCTGAAGAGAACTTTATAGATTGGTGTTGAATATATGGGCTAATATTGGACTTATGGACTAGATCTGTACTGGGCTGGGATGTTATCTCAATATTCAATTGCTCTTGAATATAAAACTGTGACTTATACACATATCAGTGTCCACGAATTTATTTCTCTAGTCAACACAGACTAACACAATTGCAGAGACCCACCTCCACCTTTCGGATTCACCATTTCTACGATGAATCTAAAGAAGTCCTGGCAGCACAGTGGGTTAAACATGGGGCTGTGATCAGAAAGGCCTGCTATGGGAACCCATCAGCTCCTCCCCAGGAGAAAGATCAGGCAGGCTGCTCCCATCAAAAGGACAGTTTTAAAAACTCTATGGAGCTTAACTAAACTAAACTCTATGAAGCAGTTCTATGTCTATTGATCTGAGTCAGAATTGACTTGAAGGCAGTGGTTAGTTAGGGTGGATCTGAAATTTGCATTTCTAATAAGTTCCCAGGTGGTACTGATGTTGCTGGTACCAGGATCACATTCTGAGAACCAATGATATTTACTATAAGAGCTAGAAAACCATCTACTTGTTTACTAAATCATTTTTAATACCTAATAATTTCTAGCAGACTAGATGTGTAATGATCCCGGCCCCCCTATTTAATTGATGAACCACCCTATGCCTCAGAATAACAGTATATCTGCTTTGTTTACTTTTGTTTCCTCAGCACCTAGAACACTAGCCAATACACAACAGTGCTCTGAAAGTACTGAATGAATAAATAGTTGTAAGGAATCAAGTCATGTTTATGGAAAAAAAGCCTACAAATACTAACAATGATTATTGTTATTCATTACACCAAGTAGTGATAATTACTGCAAGAACTGTGGCTCTTGCCAAAGGAGATGCATTCTGAGGAGATGGTTTGTCAAGCAAGGCTCAGCTCTGCATTTAAGAGAAGGTGCTGTATAAAAGTGGTTAATAAGTCTCACTGCCTTGAGTCAATGCTGATTTATAGCGACCCCCTGTGGGTTTCTGAGACAGTAACTGTTTATGGGAGTAGAAACCCAGTCTGTCTCCTGCAGAGCTGCTGGTGGTTTCGAAGTGCCAACCATGCAGATCGAGGCCCAGCATGTGACCACACATTACCAGGGTTCCATAGCTAATCACAGCTAACCTTGGATGACTACTTTCTGCAGTGTGAGGAGCCCTGGTGGTATAGTGGTTAAGCTTTGAGCTGCTAACTGCAAACTTAGCAGTTCAAAACCACTATCAGTTCCTACTCCTGTAAATGTTAGGTTTGGGGCATGATTTTCCTTGGTTTTTGCTGCTCAACACTGAGGGAGTTCACGCAGCAGAAGTACTTTTGTAAGTTCAAGTAACTTTTATGCGGGAAAAGGAAGTTTTGGGTGATACAGTCTCAGTACATGATATCCTTGTAAAGTGTGCAAGCCCTCACAGCTGGAAGGTAGAGAGGGCGACTGCTCACCAGTTGGTGACCAAAAATGGCAGCTTCCGGGGAATGAGAAAAAAACCATGTGGAAAACGGCCAGGAAGCAGGGACCATGAAACCCAAAAAGGCGCACAGGAACTACAGAGCGCCCCCACGCCCTGCTTCTGCGTTTTATTCCTACCCCGACTTGGGGTGGGTGGGCTCGTGGTTGAGAGTATTGGCGGTTCTTAGCGCCTGCCTAGGCTCGCGTGTGACCTAGTGTTGCTGGTTTCTAGTTCACATGCCCAGGTTTGGGTTTCTCATGCGCTTCTGATTTCTTTCAAACCCCTTTATTGTGTCACGGCCAGCTAATTCTCGTTTAGCATAAGCATTTGGTAGAGACAACCCCCTTTATTCCTCATCTTCCAGCCGGTAACTTGCTTAACTGCATTTTCTGACAAGCTGTTACTTGGGCATTATTAGTAGCAATGACGTGAAGTGACAGAGGAAAGTGAAAGGCAGTAAATCACCAGAAGTAGAGAACTGCAGGGGCAGAATTCCAACACTCGAAAGTCAAAAAATGCGTTAGTGGCCCTTTGCCATCACACAGTCAGCAAATCTTAAGACCAGCAAACGTCGTGGGTGAAAATGAGTCCGAAGACGGAAAGCAGGGGTCAGGGGTCAGCAGGAAGTCGCGACAGAACACAAGTCACTAACACGTCATAGACGAACAGAGGGATGTCCCGAAGGACAGGTGACGCTGCCGTCTCAGCCGCATGTCTGCTGGTGCGGCCGTAAGGTGGCTCTGCCATCTGGAAAGAATACATAGCAGAAATGAGTAAGAACCGGCACTCCCCAGGAGGCGGCCATGATGGGAAGGGCGCGCATGTGCCGCATCCGGGTTCCCGAGGGCTTGCCTAGTGCGGACGTGGCAGTAGGAGAGGCCCCGGTCCCTAGCGCGGGGGCGGGACTTCCGTGGACGGCGAGCCCGCCCCCTCGGAACCGGAAGTGGAGCCTGGGATCCTTGACGTTAGGAACGGAGTCGAACCTGGATCTGGAGCCGGGTGAGGAGTGGCAGTGGGAGGTCAGTGGGGAGGAAAGCCGGCGAGAGGACGGATCTGGGTGCTGTCTGAGAAAAGAGGGAGCGTCCGGGGGACGGCGCCCGGGGAGAGACCCTCACCACACGCATCCACAAGACAAGATCAGTCCTAGGCTCTCCCTTCGCTTCCCGGCCCAGATTCCAGCTCGCGCTGCCCGCGCCCAGCTTGTTGAAGGGCGCCAGACTCTCACCGGGCTTCAGGAACTAGATCTGACTTTCCCTGAGGCTGGAGAAGCTGGCTTGGCTCCAAGGTTTTGAAGGAGCCCCTCGTTCTTGATCCCAACCTCCACATCCACAGTTCGACTACTTCCAGAGTTCTCGGAAGCCTGCCCCGCCCCCCTGGGTTGTCATCCTTGACTGCTACCGAGTGGAGCCCACATGTAAGCTTGCCTCCAAACGCCTGGGTGTGTGTGAGGAGAGGGGGTAGGAGTTGATTTGTTGAAAGCCGGTGGCCTCCCCAAGTTTGACTTTCTATTTTCCGGAGGAAAAGCTGTAGTCTCTCCCCGACCCCCACCTCCAGCTGCCTTGGGGACAGGAGCCTCCGTCAAGCATAGTGTCAGTAACCTATGTACCTGTGGAAGGTTCAGGATTTGGGAGGACACCTCTTGAGATGATTTTGAATTTAAGGAGGTTTTGTTAAGGAGCAGCTTATAGCTTTTCTATGGTCAAGATGTCCCTTGCCATCAAAGAGAGGTCGTCTAATTTTCCACTACAGTAACTGTAAACTATGCTGCATCCTGGCCACCTCCTGACTATGAGATAGTCCAGAGTTGGTTAAGGTAGATGTTAATCAGAGTTTTTAAAAGTACCCAAGAAAGGCTCTCTACTTCATTACTGTGACTTGGGGCAAGACAATTTCAGAGGTGGCCTAGATACCTGACAAGCATGTAAGGAGGGCAAATGCAGAGTTGGAGAAAAGCCCCATGTGGCATCTCATCCATTGTTTATGGGGTTGCCATGAGGCCAGGCAATGGGATGGCAGCTAAAGACATCAGTAACTCTGCTGGAAGGATAAGATGGATGATCTTTTCAGTGAGAGGTAGCTTTGCCATGGATCCTATAGTGTCTTTGAAAAAGTTTTTCTGTCTGGCCTGCACGCAGCTCTAAATCTGCTTCCTTGCTTCCATTTTCAAATGTCTTTTACTTTTAGGGAACTTAATGCTTTAGCTATCAGGTTCAGCTACTCATTTGCTGGGAAAATTAGGAATGGAGTAGCTTTTTAATTATTATAGTAATTTCTCTAATCATTTACCTTAAATTTTGTCTTTTGAGGGAAATGAATTATACCAGTCTGTCTTAGACTCATAGCTTGGTATTTTCTAAAGACTGGCACACTATCAGGTGCTCAGTGTTTGTGGAATGAATGGATGCTGGAGAGAATGAATGGAAAATAGGAGCATCGTTTCATTTACTTGTAATATCACAGTAGTTCATCAGCTGTAGGACTCCTTGTGTGACTACACACTAGAAACTATACCACTGGGGAATGGAGCCTGCTGTTCCATTACAATGGGCCTGTCTGTGGTTGAAATTTATACCCTGTTGGTAGTGACAAAGTGGTGGGTTCAGAGTAACAAATTTTTTGCTCTGAAGAGATAATTTGGGTATTGGTGGGGGCAGACAATTACTAAGGTCCCATAGTGTCGGATCCCATAATGATTAAGCTAATCTTTTTTTGGATAAAATTGATCCCTTTTATCTCTACTTCCTATCCTAGATAATTGCTTTAAAAAAAATTTGTTTGTTTAGTAACTTGGTTTCTCTTTTCTCCCATCTACTAGGTGACATTGAATTGGGGATGCTTTCATAATGAATGTCAACCAGTCAGCTCCTTCTGCGCTGCCATATGGGCAGCCCCAGCCTGTCTACCCAGGATATCAATCCAGCTATGGTGGGCAACCAGGGTCCACAGTCCCTCCCACCCCCTATGAAGCCTCCTACAATGGTCCATTGCCTGGCTATCAGCAAGCTCCTCCCCCAGGTATATATGTCTAAGGTTCCTTTGAGCTACGGAAGGAAATCAGCTGTCTTCAAAATATAGCTAGGCTGTATTACTCTAGCTAAATTGTCTGGAGAATTGTGACTGGGATTCAGGAACATGAATCTGCTTCTCTGTCACTGAGATCCATGTGGACCATCTACTTGTCCCTGTTTTGAGCATAGGGTGATTATTGCTTTTTAAAACTTGACACTGAGTGGAAGAATGTCTTCTTGATTCAGTCGTAGCTCGCATCCTGTGGCTGTCACCCTGAGATGAAACCTGACCTGGGAGTACTGTTCAGGGCTGGATTGAAGGGTTGTGATCTCAAGCCCTCCAGAGACCGGCCAGGATTGAATATTATTACCCGAAATTTTTCCTGAAATTTGTTCCATGTATATATTGAGAATGCTACTCAGTGGACAGATGGTTCTACAAATGTCTCTGGGACATGAGGAGTTAATTAATGGAGGAAAATTGCGGTTATTGATACCTCATATAATTTTTGCTGATAACATTTCTTTGCCTTTGCTTGAGTTTCCACTGGTTTTTAGATGCCCTGGAAGATCAGAGCAATGCAAGGCTAATCTGGTGCTGCCTTAGGGTTGGTGTTTAACTTTACTTCTTCAAGGCAGGGCAGCTGGTACTCTACAGATTATCCAGAGCAACTTTTGGGAAAAATAGTTCTGGAGGATTCTTAGGGTAATTGACCAGAAACTCAAACTCAGAATTATTAAGTTGATTCTGACTCATAGTGACCTTGTAGGAAGAGTAGAACTGTCCCTATGGGTTCTGAGATTCTACATCTTACAGGAGCAGAAAGCGTCATCTTTCTCCTGAGTTGCAGCTGATGGTTTCAAACTGCTGACTGGTGGTCAGCAGCCTAATTCAGAATTACTTCACTGCCAGGGCTGCTCAGGGTAATTTAAGACTTCTCAAAAAATAACCCCCCCAAAATCAAACTCATTGCTAGGGGGTTACACATTGGTTTGTTAATTGCAGGGTCAGCAGTTCTAACCCACCAGCTGCGCCTCCGGAGAAAGATGAGACTTTCTGTTGCTATAAAGATTTACAGCCTCGTAAACCGTCCACTCAATCACAATAATAAATATTAGGCATATAAATTTTACTTGTTTATTTAAAAAAATAATTTTATTGGAAGCTCGTAGAACTCATCACAATCCATACATCGATTGAATTAGGCATGTTTATACATATGTTGCCTTCATTTTTTTTTATGTATAAGAGCTTTATATATCACCTTCATTGTTTTCTAGACATGTACTTTCTATTGAGCCCTTGGTATCAGCTCTTTTTTAAAAAATTTTACTTTATTGCAAAGTCTAAATTAAAGGCTTTTATTTTAAAAAAAGATTTAACACCCTTGGACGCGTACAGGAACAGTTCCATTCTGTCCTATAGTGTCACTGAGATGCCTGAGGACTAGGTTGGACAAAGTCTTTATGTTTTTAAGAGAGTAAATCCCATAAAGCAAGGGTTGGGAACATCCGGTGCTCAGCCCCAATATTAGCAAACATCACACGCCTCACCAAAGAGAAGCAGTTCCAGCCATCACATTAGGGGTGAGTTAATTAAGTGCTTGACCAGTATTGCCCGAGAATGTTATGAATATTCAAATGGTCTTCCATGGAAAAGGTTCCCCGTCCCTACCATAAAGGAATATGGGGAAAATGAGATGCCAAGGAAGCATAGGTAAGATTTTGGAAATGAATGAAATAATACTATTTTAATGAAGACTTTGCAAAAAAGTATTCATGAGATGGTAAGATTAGGTCTCTGGTGTGTGGAAAAGCTTTACTGGAGGGTTGGGACTTTGACTGGACAGAGTCCACCTCTACTCTCGCAAATCTTAGTTTATCAAGATGGAGTTAGGCATTACCTGAAGAGGCAGCTTTCTAATTGAGAGGAAAACACAACTGGTTCTTTCCTGGTTAGCGAGCAAGCTCAAATCAACCATGTTCCTGTAGGTAGGTCCCAGTAGTGTCTTTTTAAAAAATTTTAATAATTCCTTTTATTGGGAGCTCTATCAAGCACATTTATACATGTTTCCATCATCAGTTTCATAATGGTTTCTTTCTGTTGAAGCCCTTGGTATCAGCTCCTCTTTTTTCCCCTCCCTCTAGGACAGTGGTTCTCAACCATCCTAATGCCACACCCTTTAATACAGTTCCTCATGTTGTGATGACCCCCAACCATAAAATTATTTTTGTTGCTACTTCATAACTGTCATTTTGCTACTGTTATGAATCGGCCAGCCCCTGTGGAAAGGTCATTCACCCTCAAAAGATTTGGGACCCACAGGTTGAAAACCGCTGCGTTAGGGTCTTATTTTTACAGGGCACTGAGCAAAATAAAATTGTTCAAAGATGCAAAAGATAAGATTTAGATCTCATAGAGACTTCTTGATAATGAGGTTGATTAAAATGAATATTTTAGGGCAGAAAACAGATTAGCTTGTCAAAGTTGGTGTCAAGTAACTAATCATTTTCGTCTTAGCCGTGGCTGTAGTTCAGTTCAAACACTTTGTCCTTCAAGAGAAGGAAGAATGCTGATATTAAAACTACTACATTAAGGGGATTGTACAAAGTAAATATCGTGGCCTTATTATTAATTTGGTAGCATAGACAACATCTTGTGCTTCTTCTAAGTGGACATAGGCTGCCCACCAAAGATGGAAGGTCACTGTATCAATTAAAAACTAGAACTTCCTGCCACTTCACACACTGACCCAAACTGGACCCTCCCACCCACTGTGAGGTCACCATCTCAGACAATGACTTTTCCTTCCAGGACTCCTGCCTCTTGGCCTTCTCAAGCCTGCATCACCGGTTCCATCCTCTTGGTGTGGAACTTCATGTTTCTTAGAATCAAGTGTATATAAATTCACGTTTTGCACTCAAAGACTGGAAAGAGAAAAAAACAAACCTTTGTCAAACCCTTTGAAAAAAATTTTTTTTTCTTCCTATTTTCATTTGGGTAGGGTGGTTAGGGGTAGTGTGCAGGAGAGAGATGTAGCTTGATGGGAGCTCTGACACTGATGGAAAGGATGAGTACAGTTTTTGTTTTGTTTGGTTTTTTAATACAGCTTTTGTGAGGAGACAAGAGGCAGCATTAGTAGAGAGCAAGCATATTGTCCTGACTGAACTCTTGGGCAGGGAGACAAGGTTTCCAGCTTAAGGGAAACGCTCTCTTGAACCATGTGCTACTGGCCTCCTCCCTTGGAGGTGGACACAGCAGATAAGATTAGCATAGGAAGAATGTATGAAGAAGGTGACAGTTTCCCCTGGAGGCTTCTTTTCAACCTATCTTCAGTGCACCTTTCCCAGATATGCTGCAAGCCTCTAAATTCTGGAGTAGAATCTGTAAAGGTATTGGTTTTTTCTTTTTTTAATCTAGCGTAAGGACGTGAGGCTGTTTTAAAGTTGAAGGGAAGGTGATCACAGGAAGTCCTACGATCTTGGGGGTCAGCTACACAGGTAGTATACCTGTCTGGGAGGGCAGCGGCTCTCTGACAGGCATCTCTGTTTAGAGTACCTTTGTAGCTAGAGTTGAATGCTGGTGCTGTCATTTTACTACAGTGCTGTGCTCTTGGGTTAGGAAAGGGCTGTCAGCTGCTGAATATGTTTATTCCAGGTGGGCATCCCAGAACTGGGGAAAGAACTGTAGAGTTGGTTTGGGGACCCATTGTGTCCTCTGTGTGATGGACTTGAGATAAAGCTCCATTGATACCTGGCCTCCACAAGCTTCTACTCTGATTGGTAAACCGCAGCAAGGTTTGGGGTCTCCTGGCATTAGTGTCAGTTCAGAGTCGGTGTCTAATAATCCCTCAAAAGCTAGTAAAAGACTATAGGTCACTTTGGGGAGACCAGGAGAATGATTAACAGTATACATTTTTAGAAGTGTGATAGAGTCCTTAAGGAGACCTGGCCTCCCCTTCATTCACAGGATTATGAGCCTATAAACTTGCTAGCCTGGGAATTGCAGAGTCTTGACTCTCTGCATTCCTGACTTAGGTGGAACAGGAAATTATTTCCCAATCACTTCATTTTTGTTCTTTACTCTCAGGTGTTTCAAGAGCCCCACCACCCTCAGGGGCACCTGCACCCTCAACGGCACAGGCCTCTGGTGGCCAGGCTACGTATGGCCAATTCGGCCAGGGAGATGTGCAGAATGGGCCGAGCTCTACTGTGCAGATGCAGAGGTATGTACTTGGGTCACATGAAGCAATTGGATTAGGAAGGTGTGAAGATCCATTTTCTTGTTAGTGCCCTGCAATGGCCTGCCCGTAGATCCCCTTTTCTAAAATGGCCTTGCACTTTTTGTTCTTTCTCTACAACCCCCACCCCTCCACTCCCGCCCCTGACCCCTCCAGTGTTCAAGTTACAGGTGCTGCTGTTGTCCATCCCTCGGGTTTATTGACCCAGCTTAGTGCTTGGGGTTTGCATATTCTTTTCAGTGTACAGAGGGTTTTGTGGGTTTTTTTTTCCCTTCCTTGACAGATGTACATTTTCAGTAGTTGTGGTTCTTACTGATCCTATCTTTAAGGTGAAGGAGAAAGAGGAAACCCTAGGATAGGAGTATTTATGTCTCACCTGATTTCCCACTTTTCTTTTGATCAGGCATTTGGTAGGACTGATCAGTTGTGTTTGGGCGAGGCCAGTACTAAAGGAAGGTATACAAAGGAAAACACGTAAATGATGAAAAAGTAGTTGGTGCATGCTCAGTTAGCCTTTGTGTGTGGAATTCCATTTAAGAAGGAAACTCATCTCTTTTGAGCTATTGTGGATGTCTCCCCCCTTGGTAAACAAAGAATAAACAATAACTGCATGGGATGTGTGGTGATGGAATTGTCACTTTCTAACTCTTACATTTTAAGTAGTGAATCTAAGCCTGGAAGAAGGAGGTTGGGAAGCTCTCTCAGTGTATTAGAAAGCTGTGAGAAGCAATATAGAGAAATTAATTAATTAATTAGCTTTAAAATAGCTACTTTGTACTGCTATGAGGTGGTCATGTTTGTTAGAGTAAACCAGCCTCTAACAACCACAGGGTCCGTAGGTGCAATTGTACGGTGATAATATATAAAGATTATAGTAAAGTCATAGAAGATAGGAGAGATAGAGTTAAATAAAGGAGTTAGACACATTTTATGGTAGCATGCTCACCCCTGGGATGGCCTTGATCTCACCAGCCAGGTCCATGCAGAGAGGGAGGACCAGAATATATTTCCATTCATGGCATATATACACCTTTGGGGACATGCAAGCCCCCTGATTACATCATAAGGGAAAGGGGTTGTACAATTGGCATACATTAATCAGAGGGAGACAAACTAGGGGTGTACATGCAATTGGGAGGGGCTGTATTAAGGGTATACATGTGACAAGATTAGTGGACCCTAAATTCAAGATGGCAGCCTGACCTTTGTCCTCCTTGAGTTGGCTTGACCTTGTCTCTGGCTCTCCTTCAGGGAGACAATCCATGGTCCTTGTCAAAAGGGAGTGTGCCCTAGTTAGGGTGGGACAGACTATAGAGTCTGATTGCTCTAGATGGCTGATAACCTCTAAGCAACTGACGTTGACCTCCAAGTGTACTGTCATTTACCATGTGTTGCATGCAGTGTCTTAAGTTTGGCATATATTTGGGGGATAACCTGGGGAAAATCCTTTCTGCATCCCATACATGTTGTCAGGTGTGACCAAAAATCCTTTCTGCATCCCATACATGTTGTCAGGTGTGACCAAAAATCCTTTCTGCATCCCATACATGTGACCAGGTGTGACTACTCTTGGTAGAGTAGAGGGGTAGTGAACGAGAGGAAGGCCCTCATGGAGATGGACTGACACTGTGGCTGCAATATTGGGCTCAACCATAGGACAGACGTGAGGATGGTGCCGGATGCAGCAGTGTTTCCTTCTCTTGTGCCACCTCGGTGGCACCTAGCAATAATATGTGGTCATTCCTCTAGAAGCTGAGGATAAGAGTCTCTGCCTCCATGAAGTTTACATTCTTTTTTTTCTTTTTTCTTTTTTAACATTTTATTAGGGGCTCACACAACTGTTATCCCAATCCATACACACATAAAGTTTACATTCTTGACAAGGACATAAAAGATATAAAATAGACAAATGTACATGAAACAGGGTGGGGATCTAGAGAATGACTGATGAGGTAGAGAGCTGGTTTTTTGATGCTGGTCAAGGAGCCTCCGAGAAGTATTGAGCACAAGCCATGCACGTAGATCTGAGGGAAGAGTTTCTTAGGTAGAAGCAGCAGCGAGGCAGGAGCTCATTGATGGCTGTGAGGAAAAGCAAGAAGGCCAGTATGGCAAGAGCAGAGTGGACCTTGGAAGAGAGGAGGTGGAAACAATTTGGTGGAAACATGTAGTGACTTAAGCCATAATAATTTTACATCTGATTTTAGAGGCAGTGAGAAGCCATTGAAGAGTCTTAAGCTGGGTTGTAACATGATCCTATTTACTCATTCATTCAGTTGATTGATCATTCTTTTCATTGTAATATAAAGCACATGGCTTAGTGAGTTATTATAAAGTGAGCGCCCTTTTAATTACAACCTAGATCAAGAAAAACAGAACCACTCTGTCACTTAACTCTTCTATGTGCTCCCAACTCATTCACCATTCTTTCCCCTAAAAACCACCTTTATCCCAACTCTCAGTCAGGATAGTAACCTTGTATGCTTTTAAAAATAGTTTACATACAAACATGCATTCCTTACTAACTACTTTAGTTTTACCTACTTTAAAAAATTTGTAGTGTCTTCTGAGTCTGTATTTCTCCTGTGGGAGAAAGAGGGGGCTTTCTACTCCCAAAACAGTTGCAGTCTGGGAAATTCACAGGGGCAGTTCACTCTGTCCTATAGTTGCTAAGTTGCTATTAGTTGGTATCTATTCTTGGCTTTTTTCTTTTTAATTCCCCCTCTATCTCTGTCTTTTGTTCATTCCCTATCTGTTAAAACACCCAGGCTAATGGATCTGAAGAATTTCCTATAGTCTGAATTTTCCTAGTTCCATATTCATGTTACTGTTCAAAATGTTCCCCTTCTGTATTTCCTACAAATTGGCAACTAGAAACAGAGACCGGAACAGACTTAAGGTTCAATCCTTCTGGCAGGACTATGGACCAAGACAGTGGGAACCACATAAATATCTAATTGTCTCTCTTTGTGCTGTTAACAGTAGTTGATTTCTAGCAATAATTGTAAAGAGAAAAAAAATAATTGTAAAAACAATAATTCTTTTGTTTCTTTTTCATTTGTTAGTTTGAATTCCATTATAGAGATAATTCTCATAACTTGTTATTTAGTTGCCTACTGGTTGTGCAATTCATATAGGAAATGTAGGATAAATCCCGAATTCTTTACCAATTTTCAAGGTAGTGAATTGGTCCCTGTTACCCAATGAAGATGATCAGTTCCTCTTCTTGTTCATTCTTATGCTTGTGTGAATTTAAAAAAGGGTGGAGCGTTTCAGTCAAAAGTTCAAAGTGCCCCATCTTTGACCAATGGGACTTTCTGAACTGTGAGCACTGAGTCCTTTTGACATGATTCTAGTAGTCTTTTAAGTATGATCATTTTAATTTGTACTTTGCTGATTACTTATGAACTGTATAGCTTTTTCATATGATCTTTCACTATCTGTATCTTTACTTTTAACGATCTAAATTCTAGTTTTGGCCGTTGTTTTCTTTTCAATGGAGTTACCTTTTTCTAATTGATCCATAGGAGTTCTTCATATGGTCAGTCTAGGAGGGTTTTATAGGTTCATGTCTATATTGTGTGTAAAAATCTTTTCCAGATTCATAAATTTTATACCCCAGACCTAGAGTTAGCTATTTCTACAAGAATTCCTTCATTTTTGTTCAGTCGTATATTTCAAGGTGCTAGATATACGTACTCATTGCTTCTGATGATGGGCCTTCAAAAAGCTCAGAAAAATTCCATTATCTTTTCATTCCATTTGTCCATAAACTTTTGAAGCCCCCTCATATTAACCTGTGTGTGTGTGTGTGTGTGTGATTTCAGTGAATGTTACAGAGCAAATTGGTTTTCATTCAACAATTTATAATGTTTTGTTTTGTGACATTGATTGTAATATCCACATCCTCTCTGTGTTTTTCTTCATCCTTTCCGTCATGCCTTCCTTCCTGCCTTCTGAACTATATCCCTGGGCCTTTTGCTCTCAGATGGTTAATTGATCTAATGAATGCATACATCCCTGGTGTTATTGTTCACCCCATAGGCCTGTCTATCATTTGGCAGGAAGGTGAGTTCAGTTCTAGACTTGAGGTAGTTAAGAGCCATGATCTTGGGGGTTCCACTAGTCTCTGTCAGACCAGAAAGCCTGGGTGGGTCTTTTTTACAATTTTGAGTTTTGTTCCACAATCTTTTGCCACTTCATCCTGGACTTCCTAGTGCGATCTATCCAGAATGGTTAGCAGTGGTAATAGGCATCAACTGGTTCTTCTGGTATCAGGGTCCTATAGACTAGGATTTACACGGTCCATTAGCCCTCTGGAGTAATTGTTTTCTTGTGTCTTTGGTTTTCTTCACTCTTCTTTGCCCCGACAGGAGAACCAGTGCCTAAGATGACCTGTATAAGATTTTAAGGCCCCAGTTGATACTCACCAAAGTAGGATGTACATCATTGTCTTTGTGGACTGTGTTAGGCCAGTCACCTTTTTTTTAAAAATCATTTTATTGAGAGCTCTTACAATGCTTATTATAATCCATACATCAGTTGTATCAGGCATATTTGTGCATATGTTGCCATCATTCTTTTCTAGACAGTTACTTTCTATTGAGCCCTTGGCACCACCCCCCCACCCCCCCACCCCCGTCTCCCTCCCCCCCAGTCAACCTAAATGTACCCTGAGACTATGCTCTTGAGCCCTTTGTATTGGGTATTCTTTAAGGCTTTTTCAATGGACAAAGCTAAGGGTTTCAAACCCTCAAAAAGTTCATGGAAAAATTCCATTATCTTTTAATTATATTTTTCCCATGAACTTTTTGAAACCCCCCCACATAGTAAAGATAAAATACCTGAGATTAGTTTATATTGGCACTTCAGCTTCAAGACTACAGAGCCTTTAACTAACTTCTTTCCTATTGCATGTGGGCTGCTTCTTCCATGCTGATAATTACAGTTCGTATGACTGAGTAGACCATTAAGAATAATACTTGTGAGGAACCTACTCCTCAAAGCAATCAACTGCATGTGACCAAGAGTGCAACATTTGCCCTAAGACACAAGTTCAGAAGGCAGGAAGGGAAAGGAAAGATGGATGAATGAAGCAAGAACCTAGGGATTGAGTAGGAAGAGTGGTGTTATGAGAGGTTTTGAGTAATGTCATGAAACAAATGTGTGTAAAATGCTGAATGGGAAACTGATTGACTCTCTAAACATTTACCTATAATCCACAATAAAATGTTTGCGGGGACTGGGGAGGGGGTGAAATTAGAATGATGGAACTAGAATTTTGCAATACCACAATTTTTTCATTTATTTTAGTCCTCATTGAACACACAGTCTCAGTACAACTATCACTATCCCCATTTGAAATTACTGAAAACATTAAAACAAAACTATTTTGCCCATGTTCTCCCTATTCTCTCATAATTAAAAAAATATATTAAAAAGAGAAGAATCACTTTGCTGATTCAAGAGCAGTAGGGAATCCTAGTGGGAGGCTATTGTGGTAGATGATATTGGTTTGCTTTATTTTTTATTTTTTAATTTTTAAATATATATATTAATTGACATTTCTTGCTCATTCAAGTATATCCCTTCCCTTCCCATAGAATTCTGTAGTTTAATCCCATCAGGTGAGGTTATACAATCATCAGTGTTATCAACCCCCTTCTCCCCCGTGATTTGGTTTAGGACAGCGGTTCTCAACCTGAGGGGGTCGTACGACCCTTTCACAGGGGTTGCCCGATTCATAACAGTAGCAAAACTACAGGTATGAAGTAGCAACGAAAATAATCTTATGGGAGGACCTGATGCCGGGGGCTTAAGTGGAGAGGAAATGTTTTGAGAATGATGAGGGCAATGAATGTACAGATGTGCTTTACACAATTGATGTATGTATGGATTGTGATAGGAGTTGTATGAGCCCCTAATAAAACGATTTTAAAAATAGTAATAATTTTATGGTTGGGGGTCACCACAACTTGAGGAACTGTATTAAAGGCTCTCAGCATTAGGAAGGTTGAGAACTGCTGATTTAGGATAATAGCAGTAGAGGTGGTAAAGAGTCAGATTTGGGATACATCTTTAAAGGTAACAGAATTAATGTAAGTTAAAAGAAAAAATGGAATTATGGATATTTCTTAGTCTCTTGGCTTTAAGCAGCTGGTAAGTGTGCTGAGTAAGATTACTTAAAATGGAGCGGATTTTGACGGCAAAACGAAGGGCTTATACATTTAAAACATCTATTGACTCTTTGAGTAGAAATGTTGAGTAGGTATTTTAAAATTGTAGATTGTTCAGAAATCTGTAGTAATAGCACCATGAGATATCAGCGTAATTTCACGCAGGTGGTATGCAGTGATTGTGTATTTATATTTAAATGTACATCTGGTAGAAGTACCCAACAAAGATATCCAAGAACAGTGCTTTGCAAGATAACCCCGGCTGGAAGGTTACCTGGTTTGTGTCCTATTGTTCCGGTCCTTTTCTGTTAGAGTGAACGTAATCTTCCACATTAGTAAGAATACCAAACTCAGCTCACCTGCTCCTTTAATTTTAACAGATTTTTCTGACGTCTTTCTCGGCTACGGTGATAAATTCTTCATTCTGAAAACCGAGTCAAATTGCATACAGCTGATCTCACTTAGATGCCTGTTAGATGTGCACGCTTTGTGCCCCTTGGCTTCAACTCCTCCAGGGCTTCACATTAAAAAACGGAAGTGATTTGCCAATAAAGAATTGAGACCAAAACAGAAACCAAAACCAACTACCGTTGCCTTCTGGTCGATTCTAGAACAGCCCTGCAGGACACAATGGAACTGCTTCACAGTATTTCCACAGCTGTCATCCTTATGGAGGCAGAGTGGTTGGTGTTTGCAAACTGGCGACCTTTTGGTTAACAGCCAGCCTCTTACCCACTGGGCTACCAGGATGGAGGCAGACAGGTGATAATTTAGCAGAGTAAATAGTATTTGATCTGAGGGTGTTGGCCATGTTTGTAGAGTGAACTTGGTGGAAAATTGTATTTGCCATGAATAATCATAGTGAAGATAATCAAGAATCTTACTTACCCACCAATAACAGTATGAAGCTATAGCAGAGTCTAGGATGAGAATAAGATACTGTAAAGCAATATGGCTTCTTCTATGATGCAGAACTCGTACTGGCTTCTAAGCAGAGAACACCAGAAGAAAACTGGTGTTTTATTGACTATGCAAAGGCAGTCCACTGTGTGGCTTATAACAAACTATGGATAGCCTTAAGAAGAATGGGAACTTCAGAACACTTCAGTGTGTTCATTGAACTTGTACATGTATCAAGAGGCATTGTGCAAATGGAACAAGGAAATACTCCATGCTTTCAACTCAGGAAAGGTGTGTGGCAGAGTTGTGTCCTCTCACAACACTTCTTCAATCTGTGTGCTGAGCAAATCATCAGAGAAGCTGGATTATATGAAGAACACTGCGGTACCAGTAGTGCACCTGTAATAAACAGATGACACAAACTGTCTTGCTGAAAGTAGGAGGAATTGAAGCACTTGCTCACGAAGATAAAACATTGTAACCTTCAGTATGGATTACAACTCAATGTAAAGAAAACCAAAATCCGCACAACTGGACCAATAGGTAACCTCATGATAGTGGAGAAAAGATTGAAGTTGTCAAGGATTTCATCTTGCTTGGATCCACAATCAACGCTCTTGGAAGCAGCAATTAAGAGATGACTCAATGTATTGCATTGAGGAAATCTCACAAGACCTCTTTAAAGTGTGGAAAAGCAAAGATAGTGTTTTGAGTGCTAAGGTAGACTGACCCAAAAGATAGTGTTTTGAGTGCTAAGGTAGACTGACCCAAGCCATATGGTATTTTCAGTTGCCTTATATGCATTTGAAAGTTGGACATTGAATAAGGAAGACTGAAGAAAAATTGATGCAGTTGATTTACGGTGTTAATGAAGAATATTGAAAGGACCATGGACTGCCAAAAGAACAAAAGCTCTGTCTTGAAAGAAGTACAGCCAAAATACTCCTTAGGGGCAAGGATGGCAAGACTTCATCTCACATACTTTGGACATGTCAGGAGAGACCTGACAGACCAGTAGAAGGACATCATGCTTGGTCAAGTAGAAGGGCAGTGAAAGATGAAGGCCCTTGATGAGACGGATTAGCATAGTGGCTGCAAAAAAACGGGCTCAGACCTAGGAACGCTTGTGAGGAGGCGCAGGCAGTGGTTTGTTCTGGTGTACGTAGGGATGCTAGGAGTTGGAACGGACTCAGCGGCACAGAGGGCCCAACGACCCACCTCTGCTTTCCTTTTCTTCCTAGGCACCCTGGGTCTCAGCTATTTGGATCGGCCCCTGTGCTCAGTCAGCCAGCTGTGGTCCAGCCCTATGGCCCTCCCCCGACAAGTTCACAGGTGTCTGCTCAGCTGGCAGGAATGCGGATCAGTGGTGCTACAGCCTCAGCTCCTTCCCATTCAGGGCTGGGCTATGGTGAGTATTAGTAGTGACCAGAGAAATGTTCTCAGAGCCACAGGCTCTGAGGTGGTCCCTGACTCTTATTTTATATGCCCCTGCGCCCCGGAAGATGGAGTCATCATAGCTAGCTGCGCCTCTTGTATGGAAAGGGAAGTGATTTACTGAACAAGGAGGCAGAACGACTGGGATTCTGACTGTACCTCTTTTACTTCTCAGGCTCACCGACATCAGGAAGTTTCCCTAACTCGGGTCTGTATGGCTCTTATCCTCAGGGCCAGGTTCCTCCCCTTAGCCTGGCCCAGGGTCATCCTGGGGCACAGCCTCCCCAGCGATCTGCCCCACCTCAGGCTTCCAGCTTCACGCCTCCAGCTTCAGGGGGTCCTCGGATGCCTTCGATGACTGGGCCACTCCTGCCTGGACAGGGCTTTGGGGGACCCTCTATGAGCCAGCCCAATCATGTGTCCTCACCTCCTCCTCAAGCTCTGCCTCCTGGCTCCCAGATGACCGGGCCTCCAGGACCCCCACCATCTATGCATTCCTCTCAGCCAGGATATCAGCTGCAACAAAATGGTGAGTCTTTTCCAAGGTTTGTTCAGGTAGTCACATGCTATTTTGCTTTTGATATTTTGTTTGTTATTTGGAAAGTTTGTTTAATGGTATAGTAGATGGACAGCTTCAGGGTATTATTATTATTGGGAGGTGGGGTTAATAAGAAGGAGTCTTGGTGGTGCTTTGGGTGAGGAGCTGGAGCGTTAATCACAAGGTCAGTGGTTCAAAGCTCCCAGCTGCTCCTTGGGAAAAAGATGAAGTCATCTGCTCCCATATAGATTTCTTATATAGGATCTGGGGAATCCTGTATAGGGTCGTTACAAGTCGGATTCGACTTGATGGCAGTGAGTTAGTGTTTTGGCTTTGGGTTCTTGAGACTTAGTAGTTCAGATAGTGTGATCTCTCACCAGTCATTACTGTAACTCATAATTCTATATTACAGGAGTCTAGTCATTTCCCTGAAGCCTTAAGAGGACATAGGGAAAGATTTTGTTTTCTTGTCTCTCAGGTTCCTTTGGATCAGTCCGGGGCCCTCAGCCCAATTATGGAAGTCCCTACCCTGGAGCACCCACCTTTGGCAGCCAGCCAGGGCCTCCCCAGTCACTGCCTCCTAAGCGCCTGGATCCTGATGCTATCCCCAGCCCCGTAAGTGGATATTTATTGATTCTGGGGAAGGGGCAGGTGAATAGGACAACCTAGGAGGACTATTAGCCTAGCATTTCCTGATTATTTTCCTTTTTCATTCATCTTTTTATAAGGCATAGAACCTAAATGTAATTTCTGACTCTTTGAACTGGAACTTAAGACCCTAGGAGTCTTTGGGGAAGTATTTTATTCCATAACTGGGCAGGAAAGGAAGGGAAGCCAAGAGTGATCACCATTGTCAGTAGTTCTGGGCTGAATGTTGCATTTTACCACTATTGGCCACCTCTGCCCTTCTATGGAGTAGTGGCTGGTCCAAGTCTTGTCCCTTTTAGACCTGGTAGGATAGTATTCTTCCTAATGGTTAGAACAGGCGAGAATTATTCTCTGGTGTAAGTTTCTCTCTGCCTTTCCTTGGACACTGGATACATTTAGTTGCCCTCCTTCGGTGTGAATGGGGAATTGACCTACAGTTTATAAGGGCAGTGTGTGTCTTTAATTCTAATGGGGAAGCTGCTTCTCCCAGAAAGAGAGTGACTCTCACCTTTAGTATCATTAGAATTTAGACACTTATTGTACTCAGAATAGAGGTGGGGCTGTACTCCTAAGTAGGGATTACTTTATAGTTCCATCTGCAAACATTTGCTATGTCAGTTGCCTCACTATGCTTAGCCATTGTCATATTTCATTCTGTTCTCTTCCCTTTTCTTTTGGGAAACTACATGGTGAGGGCATCTATTACCTAGGGAGAACTCAGGAAGATTACGTAAGCTGTCTCCACCTCCCTTTCCCCGTCCTTCAGTCAGTGACAAGGAGAATGTGGTTGGATGTGAGGGGAGGCTTCTTAGTTCATAGAGGGGGAGATTTGGCCTTTTTGAGGGACTATCCCTCTGCTTTCTCATTAAGGCCTCTCCAATTCAGCCCTCTCGATGTGATCCCTGCTTGCTTCCTGTTTCCTCCCTTTCCTTATCTTTCTTCATCATAGTCTGAGCCATCACAGCCTCTGGGTTGGGCCACAAAGGGTTGGAATTTCAGATCTAGAAGGACCTGCTTTCAGTAATATGAGCTGGCTGCAGCTGTTCATGTCTAACCCCTGAGGGTTGAGAGAAGTTAACATCTGCTTCTTGTTCTTTTGTCTCCCTCCCTGTATTCCCCTGCTGCCTTTTTATTAAAACACTAAAAGCAACTCAATGAGCTGCCTCCTCAGCAGAAAACCAGGCACAGAATAGATCCTGATGCCATTCCTAGTCCAGTAAGTGCAGGGGGTGGGGGTATGGTGGGGGGTGCGTGTCATCCCTGTGTCAGTGTCATCCATGCATGCCTGTGACCTTGTCACCGCATCCACCATGTCCATCTTTCTGTCTTCTTTCCTTTGCTCTCCAGAGCCTTGCTTTGACAAGCTATAGGGATATGCATGCCCAAGTCACCATGTAATGAAGAGGTAGCAAGCTGTTAGTTGGTGGTTTAAGTATGGGTTGGTATCTAAGATCACATTTTGGGGTTTACTTTAGTATTTTTAAAAACCGTTTTACTGTGAATTAGGGTGGGGGTTACGTATCAGATCTTCATTTTGGCTTTCTACAACTTAAGCAAACCTTTGGAAGGTTTGCCCTGTCCTCCCTGAGTTCTGCCCCCTCAATCTTCCTCTTGTAGGATATTACCTCTCCTGTTTACCCTTTTTTCTTTTCAAAGTTTTATTGGCATAAAATTCACATATCATGCAGTTCAATAGTTCAGTCATATTAACAAGAGTTGTGCAATCATCACCTCAATCAGTTTTAGAACATTTTCTTCTTTCTTATACTCATTGTTATTAACTCCCCATTTCCCCCAACCTCCCCTGATATACCCCCAAGTAACCATTAATTCAGTTATTGTTACTATAGATTTACCTATCCTGGATTTCATATACAGAAAAACATGCCAAAAACTAACAACAACAACAAAGTAAAGCAGAAAAATCTCAACCATAAAGAAAGTAGAAAATATGAAAAGCTAGAACAAATTTTTAAATGGGTCAGAAGGGAGGTCAAATAAGATGTTAAATTAAAAAAAAAAAAAAAGATGTTAAATTTTAACCTAACTGCATCTACAATAATCCACTTTTAACTGCACTCTGCACGATACCAAGGCTGTTCACATCCCTGGACAGAGAGGAGTTTCTTTCCTTTTTTGTTTTTAAATTTATTTAAAAAATTTTTTTAAATCATTTTATTGGAGCTCATACAACTCTTATCACAATCTACACATACATCAATTGTGTAAAGCACACTTATACATTCATTGCCCTCATCATTCTCAAAACTCGCTTTCCGCTTGGGCTCCTGGAATCAGCTTCTCATTTTCCTTTCCGCCCCCCTCCCTTTTTTTTCTTTTTAAAATCATTCTCTTGGGGGCTTGTACAACTCTTATCACAATTCATACATACGTGTGTCAAACACATTTGTACATTTGTTGCCATCATTATTCTCAAAACATTTTCTTTCTACTTGAGCTCTTGGTATCAGCTCCTCATTTTCCCCCTCTCTCCCCGACCACCCTCCCTCATGAACCCTTGATAATTTATAAATTATTATTATTTTGTCATGTCTTACACAGTCCAACGTCTCCCTTCACCCACTTTCTGTTGCTCATTCCCCAGGGAGGGGGTTATATGTAGATCCTTGTGATGGGTTCCCCCTTTCTACCCCACCGTCCCCTTACCCTCCTGGTATCGCCACTCTCATTAGTGGTCCTGAGGGGCTTACCAGACAGAGGGGTTTCACTGGAGACTTAATCCATGTGTATTCCCCTGCACTTTTTTTTTAACTGAAACAACTTTAAAATGGGTCGAAAGGGAGATTTAATGATAAGAGACTACATTTTAACTTAACTACATCTGCCATAATCGACTTTACAATGTTCTCTGCCTGATGAAAAAAGTATTCACATCCCTTGACTATAGTTAGAGGGGATTCACTAGAGACTTAATTCATGTAAGGACCCCACAGATAGATTTTGGGCTTCCACCGTCATCCAAACTTTCTGCATAGCAGGTGTGCACAATTTAAGTTCTGATACCATTCCCTCCTTTGGATTTGGATTTTATTATAAACAATCCTTGGATCACACAGGCTGGCATGCTTCTTCCATGTGGACTTAGTTGACACCTCACTGAGATGACTGTTTGAAGACAAAACCTTTAAGATCCCAGGTGCTATTCTTTCTGATAGCCTGGCACCATTTAGTTTCCTGACCACTACCTTTGCTATAGCACCAATAATAATAAGATCAGATTTTAAGGGGGAGGGCCGAGTGGCAGGTTAAGTTTTGGTTTGGGACCTGCTGACTTTTCCAGGAGCCTGCGAATGACTTGTTATGTAATAGGACAAACTGAGCAGTCAATAGATTTTTCCACTTTGTGTTTGATATGTCCACAGCTTGTTGTGAAGAGACATGTGGGTGGGTGGCTACCAATGTACATGTTCACGGTGTCCCAAACTGGCATTTTTTACAGGAAGAGGGACTGGTAGTTTGGGAAGGTGTAGGCCATTCTCTCACCTTAGAGACTTTTGGACTCTATATTTGCATGCTCCAACCTTTCCTGCTGTGAGAGTAGTAGTCCCCCTTTCCTTCCTTTGCTTTTACTAAATTAATTAACTGATCCAAACTCATCAGCCTGCACAAGGGTTTAATCAACAGCTTTATAGTTTTGTTTTGTTTTTCTGTTTACCTTTTTCACTGTTAAGGTGTGGGGATGTGAGGGACTGAGGATAGAATTGGGCTACATAGATTGGGTACTTAGGCCTTTCCCACATACATAAATATGGATGCTTACCTGAAAAGAAGGCAGAATCTTCTCTTCACCTTTCCTGATCATTTCTGGTTGTTTTATCCTCTCCTTACCCTGTCCCTTGTACTTTCACTGAGTGTAGATTCATTTCAGGGAGATTCATTTTTACATGGTTACTGTTACCTGCTTTCCTGCCGTGATTCAGAATGTGTCTTTGGGAGAAGGGTGGCAGTGGCCAGTGCGGGTGGGGAATGGAATCTGCTCCTGTTTGAAAGATCATAATTAGAGCTGGAGCTCTCCTGGAGTGGGAGGCAATAAGAACGTGATCGCCATTCACTGGGGCTGGTGGGCTGGTTCATAAAGCAGTCCATACTCTATTGCCTGTCTAGCCTTTTGCTCCTGGCTCACAGGTAGAAGATTGGCATCATGGCATTTTATATGATCTCCAAAAGGAAAGCAGGTGGATGCATGTGATGTCCCTTGTCAAATTCTTAGTCTCTGGTGCTGTAGCTCTGGTCTTTCTTACTCCTGGCACTTGACCCCTTCTTTTCTTCTATCAGCTCACTCACTTCACTTCTTCCCTGCAGATTCAGGTCATTGAGGATGACAGGAACAATCGTGGTTCAGAGCCATTCGTTACTGGAGCACGGGGCCAGGTGCCACCCTTAGTCACCACCAACTTTCAGGTGAAAGACCAAGGTAAGAAGGGCATCCACGTTTACATTGGAGGCTTTTTCTGCGAGAATATCAGCTTGTTGATGGGCCTTTCATCAGTTTTTAATCAGACACCAATGCTTCGTTGGTCTCTGAGGGAAAGAATGGTACCATGTGCTCTAGCATTTGTTGGAGCAATGGGGTGGATCAGCAGTGGAGAGCTGACTGGTGTCTGTAGGGGATTCTGTCATCTGACTCAGGTTTTCTACCTTTTCCTTCAGGGAATGCAAGTCCCCGGTACATCCGATGCACATCCTATAATATTCCTTGCACATCTGACATGGCTAAGCAGGCTCAGGTGCCCCTGGCGGCCATCATCAAGCCTTTGGCAAGGCTGCCTCCAGAGGAGGTGAGTCAGGAAAGGGGCTAGAGCCTGATAGAAGGGAAATAAGGTTTCTTCTTATATGTGACTCTGCTATCACAATGGAAGAAGTCTTTGTTGGGTAAGAAGGGGAGGGTATCGTCAGAGGTTTTCTATCCCAGGACCCGTGTCTGGAGAGGATAATCAAAGAGAGATGAAAGCAAAAGCCCCAGGTATTGTAGGGCGCAATGGCAGAGGCCAATCTATAAGGAATGAGACAGTTGGCATGTAGGAGTTTCTCATAGCATGATTATCCAGAGGATTAGAAATGTATTCTATTTTTGCTTATATGCTGCCCTAGCATCCCAGGTTGGTTAGGGATGTTAGGTAAGAGAAAAAGATGAGAACCTAATCGCTGTTCCCTCCTCTGCCAACTCTTGTCTGAAATCCCCATGAAAACCTAGGCAGCAGCTCATGTCCATGCCTGTCTTATCTGACGTAGGATGGGAGTCTGTGATGGAAAACTCAAGACTCACCCTGCGTCACACTTCCATCTTTGGCTTTCTATTTTCTCTTTCTCTCACTGGGTCTCAGTGGAGATGACCGGACACTTGGCTACTGCTCTCTTCTCTATAGGGTGACATATACCGAGGGCATCAGTTGATACCACAGAAACCCAAGGGTGAGCGAGGACAAAGGTCATATCGATCTGTGGCTGGGAAGGAAGCAGGAGTCCAGATCCTGAGGGCAAGAGTGAAGGGAATTAGAGAAAGGGCCGGAAATAAGAATCTTAGGTAATCTTTGGCTTTCCATGTGTTCATGGCAGCCCCAGGCATAGTGTGGCCAACTTCATGGCCCCTACTTTCTTTTAAGGAGAAGTACAATTCTGAGGATGGGGACTAGGGAGAGAGAGTTTTAGAATTTGGTCTCAGGGATACTTTCCTGTGACCAGTAGTACACTCATTACTTGCCCTTACTTGCGCTCGTGCATCCCGCCCCCTTCCTACTTCAAGGCAGAATATCTGAGCCACTCCCCTTCTCCTTCCAAGTGGTTCCTCCTCAGCTGTTGCCACATGCTTGTGCTCGCTGTAGCGTTCCCGCCATGTCTGAGCCACCTCCCCCTTTGCTTCTTAGGCTTCACCGTATGTTGTGGATCATGGAGAATCTGGCCCTTTGCGATGCAATCGCTGCAAAGCATACATGTGCCCCTTCATGCAGTTCATTGAGGGAGGGAGGCGCTTCCAGTGCTGCTTTTGCAGTTGTATCAATGATGGTATGTTCAAGGAAGCTGGGATTAGGGAGATTGGGGTGGCAGGGGGTGGGGGTGGGGGCTTGTTTACATCTTCATTGTTCTCTTTTTAGTTAGATAAATGAGGGTTTGTTTTTCAAGAATTGGGGAAGTAGGGCACAAGTGGAACGTGGAGGCAGTGGAGTCAGCTCAGCCAAGTTCTGACTGAACTAAAATTGGCATTTGAGTAACACTGCCGTACTTCCCACAGTCCCTCCCCAGTATTTTCAACATCTGGATCATACCGGCAAACGTGTGGATGCTTATGACCGTCCTGAGCTCTCTCTGGGTTCATATGAATTCCTGGCCACCGTAGATTACTGCAAGGTGAGGGGAACGTAGCGTGGGGAGGAGGAGTGGGTGGAGGTCAATGAGACAGCTGAAACGTGCTCTTTTCATTTCCTTCCCTTCATCCCTTGGAGGCTGGTTTCTTTCCAGTCAACAGAGCTCTACCAATAACCCCCTTCTTCCAACATTTCCTTCCTTGCAGAACAACAAATTCCCCAGCCCTCCTGCCTTCATCTTCATGATCGATGTCTCCTACAATGCCATCAGGAGTGGTCTTGTTAGGCTCCTCTGTGAGGAGCTCAAGTCACTGTTAGACTTTCTACCTAGGTGAGAGTTTGGGAGCTGAGGTGATTCCTTTGGATAATGATGGGATGGCTGGGTTGACTAAGAAAATGGGGTCTGATGTCCTGAAGTTGGGGGTGCTGGGGAAGGTGGCAAAGCTGGGTAACAATGTCATCTTTACAGAGAGGGCAGTGCAGAAGAGTCTGCGATCCGTGTGGGCTTTGTCACCTACAATAAGGTGCTCCACTTCTACAATGTGAAGAGCTCATTGGCTCAGCCACAGATGATGGTTGTATCTGATGTGGCTGACATGTTTGTGCCACTGCTAGATGGCTTCCTGGTCAATGTCAATGAATCCCGGACAGTCATTACCAGGTAAGAGATGAATTGGGAGTTTTAGCAAAGAGGAGGTGGAGTGGGTACAACCAGAGAAAGCTAGGAAATTGAACAGAGGACCAGAAGATGGCCAAAAACTGAGGCTCAGGGGGTTTTCAGAGTCTGGGGGCCAAGTGACTCTTGAGAAAGTTTAAATGTGAGGAACCTGAAATGTGGATAGCAATTTTGATCGCCTCTCAACACTTATCTCTTCAGTTTATTGGACCAGATTCCAGAAATGTTTGCAGACACAAGGGAGACGGAGACAGTATTTGCCCCAGTTATCCAGGCTGGGATGGAGGCTCTGAAGGTAAGGCTGGAGTTCCCGGCAGTCACCCCGCCTCACTTTTCTCAGACCATATTACCCCTTGGGGTACAATCCCAGTTTCTACAGTGAAGACTGTTCATTGAACCAGCCTTTCTGATGTAGTGAGCTCCAAATCAATGAGGAGGGAAGGATGGATGCAAATCGAATGCAAACAGAATAGGAGTTGTGGTAGCACAGTGGTTAAGCACGTGGCTGCTAACTGAAGGACCGGTGGTTTGAACTCACCTAGCAGCTCTGTAGGAGGAAGAGGTGGCAGTCGGCTTCCTTAGATTACAGCATCGGCAACCCTGAAGGGCAGTTCTCCACGATGGCAGTGGGCTGAGTTAAAGGGAAGAATGAACAAGTAATCTTCTTTCTAGGCTGCGGAATGTGCAGGGAAGCTCTTTCTGTTCCACACATCCCTGCCCATTGCGGAGGCACCGGGAAAACTGAAGAACAGGGATGACAGGAAGTTAATCAACACAGACAAGGAGAAGGTATGGGATTGAAAAGAGAACAAGTCCGCTACAGAGGAAGGCTACAACTCTTCACAAGGTCATACCTGTGCCTTTTTGGAGGGAAATAGGGTCCAGATACCCTGCCATTTCACACCCCACACCTATTTATCCCATCTCCTTCCCAAAGCTCTTGGTAAACCATTTAAGCTCCTTGGAGACAGTGCTGAATTCCTACAAGTATCTAAATGCCCCATAGTATTTATAGTTGGCCTTCCTGTATCCATGGGTTTCACATGGGTGGAATCATCCAACTGCAAATTGAAAATAATTGGGGAGCGGGCTGTAAGCGGTAAGTAATCAAAGGAACTAAGAGAGAGTGTAAAGTGCTGTTTGTATAGCATTTCTATGGTATTAGATAATAAAAGTAATCTAGAGGTGATTTAAAGTATACAGAAGAATGTGAGTAGGTTACATGCAAACACAACCCAATTTCACATAAGGGACTTGAACATCTGCAGATTTTTGGGTATTTGCTGAGGGGTCACGGGGACTCCCCTCCACCTGCCCCACTCCCCCCACCCCCATACCAAGGGACAACTGCTATTTGGGTCTTTTCTTTTTACACCTCCTAGACGCTGTTCCAGCCTCAGACAAGTGCCTATCAGACACTAGCCAAAGAGTGTGTGGCCCAAGGCTGCTGTGTAGACCTCTTCCTCTTCCCTAACCAGTATGTGGATGTGGCCACGCTCTCTGTGGTGCCTCAGCTCACTGGTGGCTCTGTCTACAAATATGCTTGCTTTCAGGTATGGCATGGGACTTTGGGTGGCAAGTGGCAGCAGAGCTGGAAGTGCTTGCCACCATGTGGGTGACTCTGTATCTGTCAGGAATAGTCTGAGGTAGACTGCTTCGTGTAAAGAAGAGAGCCCTGAAAGTATAGGGGTTAAGAGCATGGAATTTAAGAATCAGCCCCGAACTGATATTTATTATTTACTAGTGACACGACTTGGGAGAAATTATTTAATTAACTTATTTATTTCATTATCTGTAAAGTGGAGTTTTCATAATTTTGTATTAGGATTGGTCATCAGAATCAAATAAGATCTTGTAAATCACTTGGTGTCATACCTGGAGTGTGTCCAGTGCTTCAAAAGCTGTCCTCATTAGCATCATTATCCATCTTCACTGTCATTGTCAGAAAGACTAAGCAGACTTGTAGAGTGGAGGGGGTGCCGACAGATGAGAGATTGTCTGTTGCAATGTGACTCTGGACCTGGGGGGGGGCGCTGCAGGTGGAGAACGATCAGGAACGGTTCCTGAGTGACCTGTGTCGGGATGTCCAGAAGGTTGTTGGCTTTGATGCTGTGATGCGGGTCCGAACAAGCACTGGTCAGTCCTGGTTGGAGAAGAGCAGGGTTGGGGTCGGGAGGGGGGCTAAATCTAGGAGGGAGCCATGTGGCACCTGCCACACCTTTTAGCCTTGGCCCTGTCTGTGTGGCCTTAGGTATTCGTGCTGTAGATTTCTTTGGGGCTTTCTACATGAGCAACACAACAGATGTGGAGCTAGCCGGACTGGATGTGGACAAGACTGTGACTGTCGAGTTCAAGCACGATGATCGGCTGAATGAGGAGAGCGGAGCCCTCCTTCAGGTGGCAAGCAGAGGCAGGGCCCAGGGAGCGGGGGTCAAGTATCATTTCTGATTAGAAATGGACTGCAGGAAAGGGAGTGGGATGGGTAGAGAGGGCTGGAGAAGAGCGGGCTCCTGTCTCCCGCTAGTTTAATGGTATCACAAAGGAGCTCCCATCTTCCTCCCTTGCCCTAGTGTGCCCTGCTTTACACCAGCTGTGCAGGACAGCGTCGACTCCGTATCCACAACCTGGCCTTGAACTGCTGTACTCAACTGGCTGACCTGTATCGGAACTGTGAGACTGATACGCTCATCAACTACATGGCCAAGTTTGGTGAGGGAGAGGCAGAGGGGGGGTTGGGTTGAGACAAAAGTCCAGGATGACTAACAGATCAACATTCTGGGATAGGGGTGATAGCAGGAAGTTGACCTGTGTGATCTCTCCCATCCAGCATACCGGGGGGTCCTGAGCAGCCCTGTGAAGACTGTGCGTGACACGCTCATCACCCAGTGTGCCCAGATCCTGGCCTGTTACCGAAAGAACTGTGCCAGCCCTTCTTCTGCCGGGCAGGTGGGGCAAGCATGGAGGAGGGGTTGCAGGGAAAGATATTGTATGTGGAAAGGATGTCTCATAATCCTTGACTTTATTTTGATCAATTTCTCAGTTGATTCTTCCTGAGTGCATGAAGCTACTCCCAGTTTACCTGAACTGTGTGTTGAAGAGTGATGTCCTGCAGCCTGGAGCTGAAGTCACCACTGATGACCGGGCCTACGTCCGACAGCTGGTTACCTCCATGGATGTAGCTGAGACCAATGTCTTTTTCTACCCTCGGCTCCTACCGTTGGTGCGATTGAGAGTTGTAGTGTGAGACATTGCATGAGAAAAGGGGCACCTTAGAAGTTCAGCAATAGGAGAAGGACATGCATTATCTCATACAGTTTCATACTGAGACAGCTACTAAGACCCTAGAAGGAAAGAGTGGTCTCTAGGGGTTGTTTTCTGGGAAGAAAAAACCCAAAAGACTCAGTTTTTGCTTTTTTATTTTCTCCTGGTAGGGGCTGACTTGTGGTCTTTTATAACCCTTTGTCCCATTCCTTTTGTGTAGACTAAATCTCCCATTGAGAATACCACGGAGCCACCAGCAGTTCGCGCGTCGGAAGAGCGTCTAAGCAGTGGAGATATTTATTTGCTGGAGAATGGCCTCAACCTTTTCCTCTGGGTGGGAGCCAGCGTCCAGCAGGGTGTTGTCCAGAACCTCTTCAACGTATCCTCCTTCAGTCATATCACCAGTGGCTTGGTGAGGGCAGAGAGTCACGGAGACTGTGTATTTGAAAGGGCATGTCGTGATATGAGGGAGCCAATAAAGCCAGCATGGTGCTCCCTTTAAGTAGCAGGGAGTACAATTTGGGGGGTCCTGGGAGGGTAGGAGGGTGCTGTATTCCCTGATAAGATATATAAATAAGTGCTGCTTCATCTTACATTGACTCAGGGATAAATGAATTTTGTGTTCCAGAGTGTTCTGCCAGTTTTGGATAATCCGCTGTCTAAGAAAGTGCGAGGCCTCATCGATAACTTAAGGATGCAGAGATCGCGGTACATGAAGGTAACACTAATCCTCAACCCTGGATTTCAGTTTTGTCAGGTCTTCAACTGGAAGTGGGTTGGGGAGGGACTGGGTAATGGGGTTTCAGGCATGTTAATTCCCCTTGGCCCTTCCTCATGACCCTGCATTCTGGCCATAGCTTATCGTGGTGAAACAGGAGGACAAACTGGAGATGTTGTTCAAGCACTTCCTGGTGGAAGACAAGAGCCTGAGTGGGGGAGCATCCTATGTGGACTTTCTCTGTCATATGCACAAGGAGATTCGGCAACTACTGAGCTAGATCAAGCGGGTAAATGGCATAAGGTCCCGGGCCAGCTTCCAGAAAGTACCCCAGATGGTAGAGAAATTGGGACAGTTCCATATCTTATAAGTCATGTAAGCTGAAGCCACCTCAGACTCTTTCGGGGGAGAGGGAGGTATGAGACACCTTTCTGGGCTCAAATATCCCACCACTCTTTGTCATGTCCTGCTGCTGGAAGGTGTCCTTACCCCTCACCTCACCCCCTCCCTGCTAATACTGTCGTAATGAATGTAGTTTCTCAGTTAACTGTATATGATTTGGTGTTGGGTGTTTGGAAGTGCCCAGACCTTGGCAATATTATGTGTCCCTTTGGCCCAGCCTCCAAGAGGAAAGGGGCAGGTGGGAGGTAGAGACCCAGGGTTACTGCAGGTCGGGGTGAATTCAGCTATGTGCCATCAGCAACTTCCTATATTAGGGATGAGATATACAGGTGCACAAGAGCTGGGATATAGACCATATGTGGTAGAGAGAAGACGTCGGTCCTTCCTGGGCCTGGAGATCAGCTGCCAAGTCAGAGTTCCCGAGAGTACTTGATGGGCTCTTTCTCTGTGCTTCCACTGCTCTTTCTCTCTTCTGCAATGATTGGTAATCACTCCGTGGTATTGTCAGACATGAACGAGCCTGGGAACTCATCTGGAAAGTACATGAGACCTGGAAGAGGTACTAGCCTCCTCCTCAGTTGGAGAGGTCCCAACACTGGATGGTTCTGTAGAGAGCCTGGTCAACAATTTGCAATACCTCACAGAGCCAGCCCACATCCTCCTCTAAGCTCCACTGGAAACATTCACTGCCTCTCCAAACTGAAGGGTTTGGGTTTGGGGAGAAAGAGGCAGAGCTTCTGGAGCACCGCACTATCCTGCCTGGACACCACCCGGATTTGTTATTGACAGAGTGGCTTGACAATTATCTTCCAAGGCCAATTGGCTGGGACAGGACAAGGGCTAGGCGGGAGATGGCCAGACCTGTCAGCTCCCAGCCTGGGATGTACCTGCTCTGGACCTCTCATTTCTCTTCCTTGGTTTATTTTTCAATGCATCTTTAATTTGTAAAGAAATAAAATAAATTAAGACAGAACCAGTAGCTTCGTCCTTAATCCAGCGCCTGCCCAGTTTCCCTTCATCCCCTTCTGCCAGTCCTTGCAGCTCAGCTCAGGGGAAGTGGCTTGCTGAGCAGAGTTGCGCATGCGTCCTCCGTGGCGGAACCTCAGCCCCTTGTGGCTCTAGCCAGTGGGGCGGGGTTTTGTTCTGAAGGGCGCTGGCTGCCGGAGTGGACATGGCTGTGGGCCTCGCGGGGTTTGTGCTCGTCGTTCTGCCGGGGCTTGGTGTCTGCCTGGCTAGCGGTCCTGGGCCCGTGGCGGAGGTGGAGGCCGGCGGGGAAGCGGCGTGGGCGGAGCCATGGGATGGCGCGGTCTTCCGGCCACCGTCCCCGCTGGGCTCCGTTGGGGTGGCGCACCGTTCGGGGAGCGCAGGGCCAGGGTGGGAGGAAGGGCTGGACTTGCCCGTGCTCCTGTGGTGGAGCCCTGGGCTGTTTCCTCACTTCCCGGGGGACTCGGAGCTCATCGAGTGCCCGCGCGGTGCCTGCGTGGCATCCCGGGACCGACGGGTCCGGGGGAACCCGCGGACGCGCGCCTTGCTCTTCTACGGCACCGACTTCCGAGCGTCAGAGGCGCCGCTGCCGCGCTTGGCGCACCAGAGCTGGGCGCTCCTGCACGAGGAGTCGCCCCTTAACAATTACTTGCTGAGCCACGCGGCGGGCATCCGCCTCTTTAACCTGACCGCTACCTTCAGCCGCCACTCGGACTACCCGTTGTCCCTGCAGTGGCTGCCCGGGATCGCCTATCTGCGCCGCGCGGCCACCCCACTCCCGGAGCGCTCCGAGTGGCGCCGCCGTGGCTATGCGCCGCTGCTCTACCTGCAGTCCCACTGCGACGTGCCCTCGGACCGGGACCGCTACGTGCGAGAGCTCATGCGCTACATCCCGGTGGGTGAGCGCGAGCGCCCTGGGGCTGGGCGGGCAGGGCTGAGGTCAGGATCCCTGGTGTCCAAGCTGACCAGCCGTACGTGTCCTCTGCCCCACCCAGGTGGACTCCTACGGGAAATGCCTGCAAAACCGGGAGCTGCCCAGCCCACGGCTGCAGGACACAACCACAGCCACCACCGAGGATCTAGAACTCTTGACCTTCCTGTCCCGGTATAAGTTTCACTTGGCCTTCGAAAATGCCATCTGTGATGACTACATGACGGAAAAACTCTGGCGCCCCATGCACCTGGGTGCTGTGCCTGTGTACCGCGGCTCTCCCTCGGTGAGGGACTGGATGCCGAACAATCACTCCATCATCCTCATTAATGACTTCGAGTCACCTCAGAAGCTGGCAGAGTTCATTGACTTTTTGGACAACAATGATGAGGAATATATGAAATACCTGGCCTACAAGCAACCTGGGGGCATAACTAACCAGTTCCTTCTGGCTAGTCTGAGGCATCGAGAGTGGGGAGTGAATGATCCTTTACTGCCCAACTACCTTAATGGATTTGAGTGCTTCGTCTGTGACCATGAGCTGGCACGGTTGGAGGCCGAGAAAGCACATGCAGCCTCTCCAGGGGACACCCCTGCCCCTGAGCCTCACATTGCCCAGCCCTCACACATGAACTGCCCAATGCCCACCCCTGGCTTTGGCAATGTGGAAGAGATTACTGAGAGTGACAGGTAAGGGCAGTTGGTGGCCCCTGCAGATCAAATTGCGCATTGGAGTGCATACTGGGGATTTGCACAGGCACTGAGGGCGATGATGTAGAAGGAATTTTAGACATGGACTCTCTGCCTTTAAGGGGTTAAGGGCCTATGTAGTTGAGGAGGTAGGGCAAACTGGAAATGTTCAGTAAAATATCTAAAGTATAATTCAAGATAAATACATGTAAAAATCAGTGTATGCCATAGTGGTTTAACAAGTCTTTAACCAGAGCAGAGGGCTTGTGCAGGGAAGTGATGTGGGAAAGACACAGTTGAGCAGATAACTAGGGCTGGGTTGTAGACAGCTCAGGAATTTAGACTGTCCTGAAAGTCTTCTCTATGTATGGAGCATCTTGTGTATAGTGGGGGTGAGGATAGGGCCAAACGGAGTATTTTTCGGGAGATTTACCTGGCATAGGCAAAGTTTGCACCTGTTAACCAGGCATAATTATTAATAGCATTTCCTTTCACTCAGAAGAGTGCCTGGTTTCGATCATAATTTACAATGATCACTAGACAGAATTCAAAGGAGTGCTGGCGGAAGATTAATTCGACAATGGGGGTCAGTATGGATTGGAAAAGGAGTGAGAAGGTTACTCTCGAGTCTAGAAAGGGGTGGCTTTGGGAACCAAAGTCAGCCTTGGAAATGGGGGCGGGACATGTTGAAGAGACCTACAGCAAACCATGCCTGTTGGACTAGAGGTTATTAAATTTCACAAACGGGCTGCTAGAATACCTTTGGAGATTGACTTGGGCAGTCAACATCAGAGAGTTGCTGAGAAGAGGGTAAGTAAAAAAGTTTTGCTGCTAGAGTACCAGTTCTTACATGCATGGTTTCGTTCCAAGTAAAACCTTTTTAAACATGTCTGTGATCAGTGGATGGCTGCAAATTCTCTCAGTAATACTTTTGTCTAAGTCTTGTTAAGGTACCTTTAAAAAAGGGATACTTTTGTGCCATGGAGAGGAAAAAAAATTTTTTTAGGTCAGAGCTAATACCAGGTTTTTAAAAAATGAAATTCAAGTGGGCATCTTTATTGAAGCTTTGCAACAAGTTTATAGGGACGCTGCCCTGCATCAAACAACAGCTTCTCAATGGATCCAAGAGTGGGAAGACTATCAATCTCAACGATGAAGAAACTGGCTGAAGCCAGAAACTGGTGGAAGAGGGGACTATAGCATTACCATTGATGTGATAGCTGCATAAGATGGGATGTCACATAATTTAACATTTTTCCATTTAAAGCAAACATCTTCATCTCAGCAAGCTATCAGCTTGATAGGTGACAAAAAAAAAAAAAGCATCTACATGAAGATCAGGTAGCTCACAGAGCTTATATCTCCATCAGTCCTTTCAGCAAGATCAAAGTTAATGAAAATAATTTTCTGGAATGAATAAGAACCAATCTTAGATTTACCAATAAACTCCAGAGAGAAAAGTTGTTGGGTCACTTAAATTCATTCAGAAAAGGCAACTTAGGTTAGGTGATTGGTTTTTGGATCCAAATGAGGCCATCTTTATAGATTTTTCTCAAAGGATCATGGGATCGTATTAGTTTTAAAATTGAAAACGGTATTGGTGAGAAAAAGGCTTATATAAGTACTGAGGATTTTTTTCTCCCCCCATCATGACAATGTGCTTGCTCGTTTATTCTTCCAGGGTAGCAAGGGCATCCTATGAGAATTTTGTCCCCTAAACACCCTATAGCCCTGCTCTTGTCCCTTTAGACTTTTTTTGTTCCTGAACACTTAAAAGGAATGCAATTGGAATCTCTTGAGGTTGCTAAAACTGCCATTTTGACATGATGTAAATAAAAGAGCTCAGCATTCCGTGAGTAAGGGTTAGAAAGAGGGAAACGCTGTCTTCAGAAGGGTATAGACCTATGTCAAGTAATAATTGCATCACATTTTCGTTTAATAAAGGATTGTTACTTTGTAGCAATGTTTTTTGACTTACCCTAGCACAAGCTCTGTTGGCATAGTTTGGTCCTGGTGGTGGAATGTTCCGCCAAGTTTTTTTCTATTTAATTTATGCCAAATATGATATGACTAAATAGAGGAAAAGGGAAACCAAGTCTCTCTACATTGGAAAACCAGTAGCAGGCAAGTTAGGAATATGAAACTCAGGCTGTGTGATATATTTGTGTTATTGGGCTGGTGCCTGTCATTGTGCTAGTACTGAGTTTACATCGCATTTCCTTCCTTTCTCAGCAGAACCTTTCCCTAGTTAGAGATCACAAGATCTACTTAAGGTTCTCTGGCCTAACTTGGAGAAAAGTCGGATATATAGCTATATGAAGGCTTCATAATTCAACTCCCATTTTACTGTTTCAGCTGGAAAGAGATGTGGGTGCAAGATTACTGGCAAGGTCTGGACCAGGGGGAAGCTCTCGCTGCCATGATCCACAACAATGAAACACAGCAGAGGAAATTTTGGGATTACCTACATGAAATCTTCATGAAAAGGAACCAGAATCTCTAATTACCCTTGCAAGAACTTTTAACTCAGTAAAGCTAAGGAAAGAGAAGTCCTTTCTACCATGAGACTTAAAGGACATCTACTGGACAAATCCCTAAGGAACACTGTCTTATCATGGACTGAAGATGCTCCAGTTCGATTCACTGATATTTTATTCAAAGATGTGTAGTCCGTATCTCAGTCTATGGTAATAGGGCTTTTTCTCAAGGGGAGGTCGAGGCATCCGTTTGTGGTTCAATGGGAAACAGAGGTCTGAAGCACTTATTTGATGCATCGTGCTGCTCCAACAAGTTTTAGAACTGTTCATTCCTGTGGCCATTTTATCCTCTCAGTTGTGATCACACCACCACCCTAGTACTAGACTACCCGTGAGGTAAGATGAGCCAGGGTAGGATCTTACCACTTCGTCCATTCTCCAAATTACTGCAAGCCGAGTGCTCACTTGGCCTCTCCAAATTTCTCATATTCAATACATCTCCTAATAATCTTTTCCTCGCCTTCTTGCTTTATAAACTGTTAGGTTGGTGGGCAAACAAAACTTCTGGTGGGTTGTAATCTGGTCCTCAGAGGTGGTATTTTTATATCACATCAACCTTTTAATTGCAGATGACTTTGCCCTTCCTGGTTTTAAGTTCTTCCCTCTCTGGAGCTGCAGTCACCTTGCCACCAATACCACATTCATTCTTTCATCTCAGTTGCCTATAGGTTTGGCAGCTTTTCTTAACTCCTGGTTTCTTCTCTAGGACCTATTGGAATTCTTCCTTACTTCCTGACACAAAGGTTCAGTGGCTAATTCAGTGCCATGTCAATTTAATAGCTCATCCTGTTCTATTTTAGGTTAGACATGGAGAATAAGGCGAGAAATCATAGAAAAAGGCTTATTCATGTATAGTAGATTAATTTTAAAGTGTTAAAATAGTCTGTAGGAATCAAAGATCACATTTTTATTTGGCAAAAGTGGGTTGAGTAAGGCTGCTAACTGCCTGTCAGTCGTTCAAGCTCACTAGCCATTCTGAAGGAGAATGAAGCTGTCTGTTTTCATAGACTTATCATTCCAAAACTCCAAAAAGAAGCAGTTCTGCTACGTCTGACAGGGTCACTCTGAGTTGTATCAACTCTAGGATGGTGGGTTTCATTTTGTTTATTTTTTGGTGGGGGGGGTGTTTGTGTGTGTATTTTTCTGTTGGCCTAATGAACTAGTTCCTCTATTTTATCATTTTTATTTGCTACAAAAGCCCATTTCCCCACCAAAGAATCATGGAAAGTATGATAGAAGAAAAATGTTTAGGGCTGCTAGGAGTGGTAATCAGCTCAATAGCAGAGGTTAACTGTGGCTTTCTGGTTTACCCTCACAGAGAAGCCCTGGTGATGCAGTGGTGAGGTGAGGTAGTTAGCTGCTAACTGGAAGGTGGGTGAGTCCACGGGGAAAAGCCCACCTCTGTGGAGACCACAGCCTTGGAAACCCTGTTGGGACCACTCTGCTTTGTCCTATAGGGTAGTAGTTGGAATTGACTCGATTCGATATCAATGGTGTGATCATATTCTATACAGTATTTTTCTATTGGAAGCGAATATCCCAGCATGTTCACTCTGTAATTGATATCCCTTTATACAACTTTATAGTGGTCACAGATACTACTTGTATCTGTGTTGGAGCCCACCCAAGGGCTCCAGGTGGTAAAGAGGCTTGGTACCACAAGCGGCTGGCTAAATAAAAATTTAGTTACATTTGGTAATGGAGGCAAACTTTTAAACTGCTGTGGTTTGAACATCAGCCTAATTCCTTCTGGGTAAGGAGACCAATGGTTTTTTTCTGAGGCACTGGAACTAGAAATACCTTGGGCCCTTGAGCTATTCTGATAGTAAATAGGTTGCATGTGGTATATTAGTTGCTTTAACAGTTTGGATCTACACTTAATAATGTGATGTCTAAGGACTTGCGCACCAAGCAAAGCTGTCATTTAGGCTTGATTTTGCTACCACTTTGGTTCTTTTTCAGTTTATTCAATATAAAATGCCCTTGTAACAGCACAGAAACAGGACTCTGTTTTCTAATTGATATAGTGTAAAGTTCATACTACACAGTGCAAACCTCAGTTAGGACTCAGAGTTCATTATTTGCAATAAAAAGGTAAGGGAAAATATGCAAGAGTCATTCTGAGCTCACTAACTCACCTGGGCATTTGTTTAGCACTTTAAAAGTGCCCAGTGGGCTGCTATATATGAAGGATGTGGGTACAGACTAGGGTCTGCTCTGTGGTCAACTGTTTCCCACACTCTCTTTTTAAATTTTTTTTTTTATTTCTTTTTAATTTTTATTTTTTTAACAGTTTTAATAGCACTTCTTCCACGTGTCATACAATTCAATAATTCAATCGTATCAAGAAGAGTTGTACAGTTGTTACCATATTCAATTCTAGAACAATATCTCCTTCCTTGTACTCATTGTTATTCATGTAATTATATATTTTTCTAATTGTGGCATAAATATACACAACAAAACATTCTCCAATTCCACAACTTCTATTTGTATAACTCAGTGCCAAATTATTCTACCACCATAGACTCAGTGCTCCCTAAGCAACACAGATTTTCTTTTATTCCTGTTACAAGTATTCACAAAATAACAGAATAAATCAGGTGCTACACTTCCCACAAGGTACTTCACTTTCAACTAAAGGCTGCACTTTCCTTATAGAGAAAGTAAATATTGTCCATTTTCTTTGGGCCCCAGCTTACAATGTATACAGCATCAGGCTTACTCCAAGGTTGGGGTTACTGGGTGTTAGAAATGTCTGATTGGAATTAGTTTTATATATACTACCAGTACAAATGTTACTATTTTCTATTATATTATCTCAGGTTTTATCTTCTATAGTAAACTGTTCATCTATTCGACAGTGTCTGTTGTTTGGTTATTTTTCTGGGGTGGCATGAAAAGGGTTGAAGATCTGCAGAAATATTTCAAATATTTGTTCATTTCACAAGTATAGCTGATTCTCATTATTCATGATAACCAAACCAAATTCACTGCCACAAAGTCAATCTTGACTCGTATCAGCTCTCTAGGGCAGAGTAGAACTGCCCCTGTGGGTTTCCAAGACTAAATCTTCACAGGAATAGAACGCCTCACAATCCTCCTGCAGAATGGCTGGTAGTTTTGAACTGCTGACCTTGTGATTAGCAGCCCAATGCATGCGTAACCCACTACTCCACCAGGGTTCCCTTTTTCACGACAGTTATGTTAAATGAAGTTGCCCAAAACAGTGAATTAGCAAGCAGTCAACCATTGCTCCAATGGGAAATACCTAACCAAGTTCCTGCAAGCCACTGTTCACATTTTCTTCAAAAGCTCATGTGTGTTTCTACTTGTGTTAGTCTGGGTTGACTAGAGAAAAAAATCCAGAGACATTCATATGTATTTAAGAGAGAACTTTATCTCAAAGAGCAGTTGTACATTAAGAAAACATACCAGCCCAGTCCAGATCAAGTCCATAAGTCCAATATTACCCCATCTCTTGATACTAGCCCATAAATTCCTCTTTAGACTCACGCAGCCATGCAATGATGCTGAAGGAAGGAAGATTACAGGCCAGTGGATGGAAAGTATTGTGGGTCCAATGGTGGTGGAAGCATCTCAGCACTGGCATGGGTCTCCATGTGGCTCCTCCAGCTGCAGAGCTCTGGCTCCATCTGTGGCTCCGTGTGGTTTGTCATCAGGAATATGAAGCAGAAGAGAGTGTGTGTCTGGCCTCCAGTCAGCTATTTATCTCTGTTGTACCTGCAAATGACGTTAACAAGCTAGGACCTGATTGACAGGCTAGACTCCACCCCTTCCTCAAATTCACAGATTATGTAACTTCCACGCTATAATACTTTGTTTAATATATATTTCACTAATTATTACATGTCATCTATGATAAAAAGTGCTGTATTGAGTTTATACTTTCAATCTTTTACTCAGTTATACACACAATACACAGTACTCAGTAAATACATTCAATGCTATTAACACACTATACAGTACAGGAATGCAAATAAAAGTC